AAACCTTACAAGGTAATGTAGGTCTGTGTATATTTTTGTAGAGACATTAGGTATTTTTTGGAAGCAGACGAGATGAAAATTAGCAATCGCCTTCGCCGGAAATCGAACCACGGACCTCTGAAATACCAGCTCAGTGTGCTAACCACTACACCACGAAGACACGCTAGGAAGGAGCGAGAAATACTTTATATACTCCTCCTTTTAAAGGGCGACTGGTGTATTTAGGGGACCCAATCGCCAAATCCTGGGTGAGGAAAATCATCATACAACACCCTTTTATTTCGGGCGCCAATGTAGAGACATTAGGTATTTTTTTGGAAGCAGACGAGATGAAAAATTAGCAATCGCCTTCGCTGGGAACTGAACCACGGACCTCTGAAATACCGGCTCAGTGTGCTGACCACTACCCACGAAGGCACGCTAGGAAAGCGGGAGAAATACCTTATATACTCCCCCTTTTAAATAGCGACTTCTGTTTCTTAGGGGACCTAATCGCCAAATCCTGGATGAGGAAAATCATCATCCAACACCATTTTTAGTTCGGGCGCCACTGCAGAGATATTAGGTATTTTGAAAGCAGGAAAGATGAAAAATTAGCAGCCGCCTTCGCCGGGAATCGAACCATGGACCTCTTTAATACCGGCTCAGTGTGCTGACCACTACACCACGAAGGCGAGGGAAATACCTTATAATTTTGATTTCAATTTCCTTGACTTTTTTGACAATATCTGCGTGAGTATGTATACATGCAGTTCGCAATTTAAAAATGTCAAATTTGGTAGAGACACAGAGATTTGAATATGTTCGCATTTCTGTTAACTCCTAACAGAAATTAAGCTCGAAAGGCTCTTAACTCACTATTGCGCAGAAGTTAGTAAATTATCTGAATATAAACTTAAAGATTCCAAGTCGGTACATAAGCAAACACGAGTACTTACAAAAAAAATGCACTATCTTTAACACTTTTAGTTCCTTTATCTATTAAAAATTGAATTGGAATGAACAAAAATTAACTGGTAAATGTCCATACGATATAATTTATCAAATTTTGCAGCAGAGCAACTCACAAAATGTCATTAATTTAGCAGACTGATTTTTCCACGGATTTATTTATTTCCTACAAACTGCATGAAAACTTTCTAACGCGCATATATGAAAAGAACAATCCCCTGGACCACGGAGTTTCAACAAATTTACTACTGCATGATTAAAATGACTCATATAGATGAGAATTTGAATTATAATTATGTGTTAAACAGGTAGGTTTTTCATATTTTATCTTTTGATTCTCTCATTTATTTTCTAGTATCTCATTTCGCATGTACTAGAAAAGTTAAATTAGCATAGTTTATATCTGCCTTTTCCAACGATAAAAATGCCGTTTCTAGGGCATTTTCAAAGTCTTTGAATTGTAAGCAAAAGCAGTGCTTTTAAATATTTAAATTTGTGAGAAAAGAGGAAAAAAAAAAACGTTATGAACGCCAACGATCGAAAATAAGCTGCTAAGTTTGATGTTCTTACCGCTGACATTTGATTACTTCTAACGTAGATGAACGATTTGCGCCATCCGTCCATACTTCACATCAGGTTGTTATTGAAAACTACTGACGGTGACATCGGTCATTCAGCGCCGTAGAAAGCCGGTTTAGCTGGTCGGCATGGATGTGCCGTTAAGCTTCATTCAGACGGTGGTTTTAAAACCATAAGTGGTGTAACTCGAGCTTCGATGTTAAGCAACCAGACCTTGACACGTTGGAAAACTGGTTTAAGAATTTTGTTTAAATGTTCTAACTTTTCGACTTTGTGCAACCTGGTATAACAGCCTACCAACCACAGCTAAGTAAACATTAGTCGATGGTTTCGCTGAATCCGCTACACATTTACGCATACACAACTTTCCCTTCCTGATTGGCTATGACTTAAACCCTGCTAAACAGGTGTAAATAGACTTGATGACTTTTATGCCGTAAACCGCAAAGCTTTATGAAGACAAAACCATCGTCTGAACGAAGCATTAGGTACCTATCTCAGAGCATTCTGCACGTGTTTTGTGGTAGAGGTAAGGAAATTCTGGCTAAACCGTTCACTAATCGCTATACTAGCCACAATAGTGTAGAGTACAATATTATTGATCATAAACAGTAATATGAAGGTAATGGCACCTCAGAATAGACGAACAGGAAGAAGGATAACAGTAGTGCTTACTAGTTGCAGCACCTCTTTTCAGTAATCGCGTATTGAGTAATCGCATATCTAACTTAACGGCTCTCAATTATACCAATGTAAATATAGTCGTACATAGTTGTTTGAGCTCAGTAAACTGCAATATCCTATTCACTGTGTTCCTTATATATCATTATTTTAGCAATGGCAAGACGACTACGCCTCTTTTCAGGAAGAAGACATGGCCTTCACTTGAGAGTGGTAGTTAGTGAACGAGTAATAGTGCATAATGTACTACGCGTCCTAAATACCGACCACTCAGATAATTTTGTGCTATGTGCCATACTCAGTAATCTTATGATACTCAACAGTCATTTCTCCTTGAGATTTCCATTTATTTGGCTTCGAATAGAATGGGTGGAATTACGTTGTCTGTAGTGTGCCTAACCCAAACATCTGTAACAACCATTCGAGAACTTGATGCCGTTGGATAGAGTGAGGCGTCCATCATACCCATATTGCTTCATGCAAGCCGCACATTATATTAATTTACTGAAGCACATTTTAAATCATCAGAAACCTCAAATCATAAAATGACTAAATTTAGTTTCTAAACTTTTTGTTTTTTCGATTCCTTTCATCACATGAAGCACTGCATTTTGCCTAATGTCATGCAAGTCACATAAATTCAGCTATGAGTGTAATCGTAACTAATTTTGCAGGTGTACTTATCATTTGTATTTTATGGAGAAGGCAGTTAATAGAGGTACTTGCAGTAGTGGTAGAAAGGCACTGCATATGAAATTTAAAAGCTTTAGCATATTTATTACAATTATCTTTCACCGAATTTTCTTTGAGATATTATTCATCTAAATTATTTGAATGTTTAAATGTGCATGTTGCTCGATTTTTTTTTACAATTCTTATGAATGATATTAATGTTACATTTGTTCTAATAAAATCTCTTTTACTTTGTTATGAATGATTTGTAGTCTAGTCTGAACATTATGACTCTGTATCTTAAAGATATTATATATTTAAATTGTATATTTATAGGGATAATATTTAAATTTAATTTAATTTCTATTATTTTGTTATTTCTCATGGTTCTTTCTTCTTCACAATGTTATGAAATGTGTATCTTATAAATTAAGTTTATTAAGTCTTATATGTTATAAATTAAGCTGTAGAGTTTTACTTCATTTACGATACACTTTATCTCCCTGAGGGAGAGAAGTAAGTGTCAGAGAAATTATTGCCTTGTTGACACAACGAAAGGAATGCTCAAATTGAGATTGACACGAGCAGAGATCAGTTAAAATATCCTAATTTGGTTGCAAGTTAATCAAAGATTAAAAATAAAATTCGAAGACTCGGTAATTTCCGTCAATATCAGATTTAAACTGTACGTTTCTGCAGTTTATTATAGTTATTAGTTATTTTGGTTCCGTTCTAATCTTCCTTTTTTATCTTTAATTATATTTTCATAGTTAGCTTATATTTCTACCTCTGTCTTAAATTCAAATCTTAAAAGTTAAAGTTTATGGTAAAATTACTCTACTTTGCTTTACATAAGCAACACTTTTTAAGTTTTTAACATGGAGGTTAGAATAGATGGAGCAAGAATGACGTCACAAGAATTGAAGCCAAAGAAATGTTTGCAACGTGACATCAAGACTATCTTGGCCGCCATACAGCATACTGATAAGACCATGTTTCACCATGTATACATTTGTGTTATAGTTCCCATTTACGCATTTTCATGTTCCTAGATTTTAATCAATTTGAAAAAGTTATTTGATCACTACTAAACTTAGAACTGGAGACAATTAAATGTTCAATGACGAATAGCTAAACATACGAACAACGTCGATTAGAATGTAAACAAAGCCCATCAGAACACCGCTTATGGCAGCAGCTATGATAAATGGGGACCTCATACCGTGACGTTTCAGGAACCGTGACGGGTTCCTCATACCGTGACGGGAAAGAATAATTTATTGCCAAAGAAATTTCAAAAATTTTGTCTTCTGTGCAATGTAACTTAACGATTACAAATTAAAAATTTGCAGACTTTGCTAGTGCTTGTAGCATAGCTATGTTATTTAAAGGATAGATTCCACTTTGATGACCGAAGGCGTGTGTCACACCACAATAGCTTGTATCATAGAGGAAGACTCGCCACTTCTGGGACAAGATAAATGATATCTACGAAGGCTTTAAGAACTCATATGAAAGGGAAACACAGTCCTACTGGTCTTTTATGTTGAGGTTAAAATAAAAGTCTTGATCTTGGCCAAGATTACTGATTTGAACGAATGAAACTCTCACACATAATATCAACTCTTTTTTTCTATCTTTAAACATGTAATTACCTCAAAATGATTTTCTGTTGTAAACAAGAGAATCATATTTAGGGAGTTTAATAACATACCGTAGAATGCTGAACTTTTTGGACACGCTTTTGTCCCGGTACTTCGCATATCGAATTTATTTTATAAAGAGCTAATTTACATACTTCTGGAGTTGACAGACATCTTGAAAGCACAGAATCGAAAGGATAATGAATAATTAAGAATTTTATCCAATTTCAATAAATGGTCACAACGTTAAGACGCTTAGTTTAGTTTAATTTAGCAATTGTAATACTAAAGCGTAAAATCGTAGTTTCTTAATTTTTTCTTAAATGTAATTATTAAAAAAATTGATTAACCCTATCTATTAGTGTTTGGTAATTGTAGTTGTTTAAAATATGATTTTATTTAATATAGTTCTTTGGAAATAAATTAGTTTTTATTTATAATATTTTGTCTTAAAAATTTTTTTCTTAAATTCAGGTAGTAGTAAATGCCTTGGTCCAAGCCATCCCAGCCATTTTCAACGTTCTCCTTGTGTGCCTCATTTTTTGGTTAATATTTGCAATCATGGGTGTACAGTTGATGTCAGGGAAATTTTTTTCCTGTAAAGAGAATGACACGCGCGTCAACGCAACAATCGTCCCCAACAGAACCATTTGTGACCAACTTAACCTCAGCTGGACGAATCCCAGAATCAATTTTGACAATGTTTTGAATGCCTATTTAGCTCTTTTTCAAGTGGTAAGGATTTCTATTTGACATGTACTTAATTAAATTTGTATTTCTACATAGAAAATTTTCTCATCATAAATATTATTATGAATGAGTGGCGAGAGTTATATTCAGTTTTCCAAAACTTTCTTACTTCGAAAAGACTGTTAAATTACTTTCGGGAAGAGTATATCGTGTGGTTTAGGGATGCAAAAATCGGTGGGTATTTGGGGGATCATAATACTATAAAACTCATATTAAAATTATGTACAGTAGAATCCTGATTATCTTAGCCTCAATTAAATGATGTTTTGCTTTATTCGAGGCAGTTTGTTCAAGTAAAAATTATAAAATAGTCAAGTAGTCAAAAGACTTTAATAAACTATACAGTTATGGTAACCGTACCTCTATACTCATAGATACAACTCAAACATACTCATAGATACTCATACCTCTATACTCATAAATACAACTATTGAGAGATACTCACTGAAACTTACTATCAACTCACTGGAAGGACTTCCTGGCGTCTATTATCACACAGACCTAATCACTCTTACAAATATATATATATATATATATATTCGGCAGATTGCACTGGAAACTTCAAATAGCATTCCCTCTTATTCCCTTCAGATTTTCACTCACTGCAATAAAAATGAGCCTGGGAATCGCGGCAGTGGAGTCTTCAATCTGAACACCTAATTAATAGCTTTAATTTTAAGACTAGAAACCCTGATCACAGTTGTGTTTTTCATTCTGAGCTTAAGGCAGTATACACTTGCATTGCCTACAAAGATATCTGGATTTTGACTGGCAGTCGCAGTTCAATTCAGCATATGGAGCAAAATTGGCCTCGTATCGGTGATAAGACTTCACTTTCTTATTTTGGCTTTACTGCAAAAACTCTCTCTCGTCATGTAATACATCTACAATGGATCCCTTCACATATTAGTCTTAGTGGTAACGAAATGGCTGATGCCCAGGCTAAGGAAGGTACTTTAATGACTCTGACCACTGGCACCCTGACCTTTTTTGAGATCTGCTCTAGAGTTAAATATACTGTTGCCTCTTTCTGTCATTCTGCTCAAGGTCATAATTGATATTTTGGCAGGCAATGGCGAGGTGCTATTACGATTCAAGGTAATCGTGCTCAGCAGACTACTCTGACGAAGCTCCTAAATGGACACCTGAAATGCCGTAAATTTAAGCAGGGAAACAAGATCTATCCCATCTGTAGGAAATGTAATGCTGATCATTTCATTCCTGGACATTGTAATATTTTATTATTTAACAAATAACTACATTTAATATTGGAATGGCAACGCCATATTTGTATCATGAAACCGTTGCTCAGCAACGTAAGAAATTGTTTAAAAATTATAATTCTGAAAGTTTTACCAGCTAGTAGATGTATGAAAAATTTGTAACTAAAGAATTGTGTTCAAATTATCTATCTCCGTAAACTACAAACAAAATTTATGTTTTTCTAAGAAGATTATCTGTTGTTTTGTTAAATACTGCAAAATACGTTACAACATCTTCTCGTCTGCTTGGGACTTATAAAAGAGGACTTATAAGAACTTAGAAATATTCTAGGCCATATCTTTCCAGATAACTTCACAATTTCGGTCTCAATTACACTAGTAAGTTTTAAGTGCACGTATGCATTAACATAAAATAAATCGGTCCGGCACATCTTTTCCATGTGCGCAGACGCAGCTGCGCAGTGCACAATGCGCAAATACTGGTCATTGTTAAAAGAATGTGTTTGCTGCCAGTTGCATAAAATGAATAGCAAATCAAATAAGTTTAAAATTAATTTTTACATAATAATATCAACTTTTTAATCCGATTTTCTTAATCAAGAAAACCGGTTTTCGAATGTAACGCATTTACTTCTACCGTTTTTTTTTTTTTTTTTTTTTTTTTTTTTTTTTTTTAAACGGGGTTTGAAAACCCGTCAAACCCTAATCGAAATACACCTCTCGAGTTACCTCATCAAATCATGTAGTGACCAAGAATCACCTCTCGAATTACCTCATCAAATCAAGTAATGACCGATATTCACCTATCGAGTTCAAAGAGCTAACATAAGAAAGAATCCGAACGTTCATTGGTTAAAGATACTTGAACACGCAAGAAAGGTTCCAATTCTTGCAAGCTAAGCACATCCCATACCAGTACGAAGCCACCACTATCCTGTCCAGTCTTTTATTTACGTTCAGAGTCATCGAGCTTTTTCTATAAGTGGTTTCTTCCATCTTGCCAAATAAATTGGAAACGCGACTCCTCAAGCCAAGTTACTCATTTTCAGGTTTTCTCAGGCTCAGACGAAGTAAAGAACGGTATTTTACTGGGTATCGATTATTAAAAGCCATATCTTACAAAGAACATTATGGTATCAGGTTTATGTTAGTAAAGGCCCCCCAACATTGAACTGCGATGCTGTTTACGGGAGTAATGTTATATTATTAGTTAAAATTATTTTTGACAAACAACATTGGTCACGAACATCCAGAATTTTTTGATGGTGATACTGTAGGTATGTATTTGATGTTTAACTCGAGAATTTTTCGATTCGTGGTACAACCGTGCCATGGTCGAACGGGAAACTATAAATTCTGCTTCTGTTTTCTTTTGGAGTACTGATCTCATGAGTATATTACTATACACACATACTCAAACGCATATCCCTCATTGAACGCCATTTAAATGATAAGAATTTGTCATCCTCTCGCTGCATAATCAGTTATTTGAACCCCCATATATGTTTGATGCTGCTGTATACGCACCTGCAAATGATGCCATTTATGAGAAGGAGGATGCTGCTCTGTGCTCTGATAGGAGTCTTTCAAGATTTCTTTTACACTCATGCCCATAAATTAAGGATAATGCAAAATCAGGCAAAGGAAAAGTTAGAAGCAAAACAAATTTGACTTATTTGTAAAGCTTATTTATTAAACAAAAGGTAAAGAGCAAAAAAAGTTGCTATATGTTTGATATTATTAAAAAAAATTAGCGATTTTTTTCTCCCTGGAGCAAATTACAAAAAAACCTATTTACAAGAAACCAAAATTACATGATTGGTATGATTGTTAATACATTCTGTGTCTCCCAGACGATGCAATACAGTCCGTACAACGCCTAGGCATGCTGAGTATCAAATTGTCGATCTAATCTTGGGGGATATTACACCACTCAAAAAGCAATGCTCTCCGAAGTTCCGGTAGACATGTAGGAGGAGGTTGACGGGCTGCAACTCGTCGGCCAAGCATGTCCCACACGTGCTCTACTGGATTCAAGTCCGGTGAGAATGCTGGCCAGTCCATACGGGTGATATCCTCCGATTGAAGGCATTCGCTTACGATGTTTGCACGGTGAGGACGGGCGTTGTCATCCATAAACACAAATTGTGCGCCCATGGCGCCCCGAAACCAAACGTACATGTTGTTCCAGAATGACGTCCCGATAGATTTGGCTTGTCATGGTTCCAATTTGAGCATGCAGGTCAGTTCTGGAACCCAGAATAATTCCACCCCAAACGAGCACTCCTGCACCACCGTAACGGTGTCGTTCAATGATGTTTTCTTGGTGGTAACGGGTACCTGGAGCTCTCCATATGAAAGTCCGGCGAGAATCAGACTGCAAGCTAAACCTGGATTCGTCGGAAAACATCACACAAGCCCACTGTTGCGGTGTCCACAATGCATGCTCTGTACTCCAGGCTAACCGCAGGCGACAGTGAGTTGCAGTAAGTGGAACGCATCTGACAGATCTACGAGCATATAGACCAATCTGCCCCAAGTTTCTGTACACGGTCTGCCTTGAAATTGTCGTACCAGTGGCTGAAGAGAGCTGACGAGACAGGTCTGAGGCTGTGCTCCCCTGTTTCTTTTGGCAGTAACTACCAAATACCGGTCCTCATTCGGCGTTGTAACTCTGGGGCGACCTGTGCTGTAACGTCTACTGACATTACCATCATCTTGGAATCGTTGCCAAAGCCTGGAGATGACACTCTGGGCAATTCCAAGTTCGTCTGATAGTTCCAGTTGGGTACACCCACATTCCAGACGGTCGATAATTCTACCACGTACAAAATCATCCAAATGCGTCCTTTGTGTCAGTTCTGGTGTAAGGATCTTAAGTTTTACTAACGTTTATTTTATTTTAAATCTTTACTATCACTTCTTATTTTCTACTTCCGGCCAGAATTATAATCGTGAAGGATTTTATGCAAAGTTTGTCTGGCGAACGCCAAGTATTTAAGTGTGGCCTTTTTGCCAAGCGAAGGAGAGAGGAAGCAGTGAGTTCGAAGCAGGCCGCTTACCTTAGAAGTTACGCAGTTGCTATTTGCCTTCCAGGCCAAGGTTTTAATCCTCTTGATAAATTAAACGTATTGTAGTGTTCACAGTCTCTGTGCTACATACGCTTCCTGTTATTATAAGGCCAATCTTACACGTGTATTATTCTAAGTTAAATTAGAGTTTAGTTTTATTTTGATATCTTTTACGTTAGACCCCGAGTGGAGGGTCATTGTATTCCGAAGTACGGAAGTCATTGTATATAAAGAAAAATAAAGGGTTTTGTATACCCTTTCTGTATCCTGTCTACTTACTACAATTAGTGAACATAGCTTTAGTAAGCTCTCTGTTCCTAGTCAGGTCCTTGTATGTTTCCGAAGAAGGTTAGAAGAAACATTGAACCTGATACTGGAACCCAGAATAATTCCACCCCAAACGAGCACTCCTGCACCACCGTAACGGTGTCGTTCAATGATGAACTATTCGGTTATTGCACTGAAATGCTTATAAAGCGCCTGCGACCAATTTTACTTCTTTGCCTGTATTCCTTATATATCACTCTCTTACACTCTCGTCATTGTGACGTACCATCGGTGTCATCTGTTCTGGTTACTTCCTGAAATTTGCATATGATTCTTGAAGATGTGTGTAGTGATTTTACAGGTGATATATTTATTTTAGAGTTCGATTTCCGCGTGACTCCGAATTATCCTTAATTTATGGGCATGAGTGTACTTCAGCTTACGTTTTTATAATTAAAATTTCCGCTTATGTTAGCTGTATCGTAACTGATGTACCATAAAAATAAATATAAAAAGTTATATATTATTTGTTTCTTAATAATAATAAGGTGCCAAAAAAAGCTTCAATTGATCATATACTATATAAATTAGTGATTTTTTAAAAAAATATTATATATCTGAAGTAGCAGCAATCTTTAGCTTTATTTCTGAGGCAAGAATTGGCCTACGCTCCCTCACATAATTGGAATTTTACTATAGTATATTTCTGATGATTATCAGTTTAACATTTTGTGTCTCAACTTTTTTTCCTCTAGGCCACATTCAAAGGATGGATTGATATTATGAATGCAGCTATTGATTCAACTGGTGTAAGTACTTTTTTATTGGACAATTTTATATTTTCTACTCTGATGTTGACAGCATTATGCTTTTTAGTAACACCCATCACCAGATTGAGAACTGTTATCCACGAAATTACAAAATTCTGGCATTTTACCGATGAATGTTCTTGGGTTATACCGTCATTAATAATCATGAGCCAATGAATGATCGTGGTTTATACAAATTGCAGTGCTTCTGTCATCAGTGAGAGATTTTAAACCCCAGTACCCCACGGATAACTGTATAATGTTTCTATAGCCATAGTTTCCTATAGTTTTGATCGAGAATTTGATGGTCTCACGAAAGGCTTCCCTACTTAGTGACCCTTTATGATTTATAATCCTGCGTGATCTTCGATGATCCATCTGATGATTTTAAGTTCCTCTACCTCATATAGATATTACTTTTGCGAGCATTTGGATTCTCACAAATTATCTGATAAGAATATTCCATATTTCGATTAGCATATCGATCTGGCAGTACTTTTTTAGTCTTTATGGTGTAAAGTGTATTCGGAGGTGGAGAATAAAGAAGAACAAGTTCTGTTCTGTAGTACCTGTTCTATACTTCCTGATCCAAAGGGTTTAAATTGTGTAAAAATATTAAATTTTATAAAAAAAAAAGCCTTTTTTTAATTAGCATTCAAAATTTTAGCTAGGTATTGAATTGGAAATTGACCTGGTAATTGAATTTGGTATATGCTGTTGTAAATTTCTTAAATATTTAAATTCTTTGGATGGCTTTGATGTTTTTGTATATTGTTGCAATACTATGCATTGTTTTATTACTCTCTATGTTTAATTTGTGCATTTAGGATAAGTGTTTTAGGATATATTTTGTTTCTACTTTAGCTTTTGGTCGCATATTTTGTATGTAAGTGTTTATTTCTTTCTTTATTATAATTTTAGCAGTGTCAAATCTGAATTCATCACTGCTAAAACAGCTCAACTAAAATGCGAAATATAAGCAAAACTGCGCTTGATTGGGTTTGGCCACATTTAGCAATTTTTTGAATGTTTCGGGAAACCATCTTGAGGATCTAAGAGCGATTTTCCCAGAAACGTCCTCGCTCAGTTCCATCTACATAGTCACCCAAAAGTCCCTTAACATTTGCAAATTCAATAATTCACTGAATAATGTAGGCATAGAGGTAAAAACAGACTCACATGCTTGAAATGCCATGAGATTTAATTGAAAGCAAAAAAGGGCTTAAACGGCCAACAGATGGCGTTTCATATGATAACGAAAGCAATAATTAGCATAAAAATTGATTTTTAGCAAAGACTATGTTCTTTGTAACTAATGTTCAGCATTTCAGCCGTCATTCATCAACAACACCTGAAGTCGAAGGTCAATATTATGAACAGCACTGTACAGCATATATTGGTGAGAAATTGCATTCGGATATCGATTTTAGGTAACCCCATAACCAATAATCACACGGATTGAGATCTGGGGACCTGAGAGGCCAAGCATGATTGAAGTGGTGGCTCAGCGCGCGATCCTCACCAAACGATGTGTGCAAGATACTTTTTCACACGTGTAGCAGGTGTTTATCAACCAGACTAGAGACGATGCAATTCTGTAACAAATCAGCGTACCTCGCACACGTCACACTAACAGTTTGAATTGCAGAACTACGCCATTTCCTTGTAAAAAATTATCCGATTACAATTGAAGGGATAAACCCACATCACATCGTGACCAGCACTTGGAGGCAAGAATAGAAAAGTTACAGAGCCATGAAGGGACTGATTCCTTCTCACACACACAATTCTCATGCGGTGTTACTGACATTTTGCTGCTAAGCGCCATATGTTGGCCTTTTTTTGCATTTATTTATTTATTTGCTTTCAATAAAACCCTATGTCATATCAAGCATATGTGTCAGGAGACAGAAGACCATCAATAGAGCAGCCACATCGTCGTTCGACACAATGTCATGCAATTGTGTTCAAGCATGTGTGCCAATTTTTAGCTCTCCACCTATATTATTCAGTGAATTATTGAATTTTCAAGTGTTTACGGACTTTTGGATCACCTTTTAAATACTGAACACTGGTCATTGTGTAGAACGGGCTGGCTGCATAGGCATTTTTGTGGGTCTTCCCATGTGTAACTTTGATACTAGCCAGTTTCTCTTAGAAATACTTCAAGAATACCTCCTTACCACTACCACTGTGCGCGTCGCAGTAATCAATTAAAAAAAAAAATTATTGGTACTCACGTATTAATGCAACCACCTTCTCGCAGCAGTTAGGCTCTTTTTTTTTTTTTTTTTTTTTTTTTTTTTTTTTTTTTTTTTTTTTTTTTTTTGCAGAAGAAAAAGGTGATTTGCTGGTATTTCGGATTGTAGCTTACAGTGGATATGGTTGTTTAAAGAACCGTTATGCGCGTGGTTGCCAGAGTTTGGGGACTTCTGAAAATTTGGCGATTTTTACCAGAGTGGTTGCGATAATACGTAAGCGCCTTATTATTTATTGTTTGAAATATCAACAGGTAAAATCAAAAATATCTTAAACAAAATTGTTAAGATATAAACCAGTAAATTATTCGATATTGTTAACTGGATAATGTAACAAATTTTATCCCTACGCTATGAACTAAAAGAAACTGAAACTGTTTTACCCCTACGGTTTTAAGTTTTAATTTATTTTTGTAGAAATTAGCCTTTTGATCGTTTATCCGCTTTCAGTACATACATGGCTTATCCACCAACGTTCAGTTTTTAAAAACAGAATAATTACTTTTTCTAAATCTTCCTTACTTTCTTTAAATGCTATATTATATAAGACACAATAATTACCGTTATCTATTTTTAATTACCCTAAATATTCATGAAGGAGAGTATGGACGTTAACCAAAATTAAATGTTTACAATTATTGTAACTTGAATTGGTGCTTACGTGTTTTACCGTCGACCATGAAATATTGGCTGAGCTCTCATAAAACGTGTGCAAATGGTTCCAATGAAAACTGAGAGAACAGATCTCTTTTTATTTAGTTAGATAATCAGCAGATTCAAGTTACAGATATAGCGTTTAAAAAAATTCTGAAAGGTATCAGATTTCAACGGTCGCTCAAAAGGGTTTGTGAAGGTTTTTTTACGTTTTCGCTGAGCTCGCAGTCTACAAGTTTTCTGATGCACTCACTCCTACTATGCCCATTTTTTCTTTTTTGTCTTTTTAGCTTTATGATTAAGCATTAATTACGCTAAAATTACAAAAAATTGAAAGGCAGTATTTCAGCATACGTTTAGAATTCCCGATGCAGCGTTAAGTGTTGGCATATTTTTTTTTTCCAAATCTCTTCTCAGTTCATCATATCCCTGTTTAGTTTTCTTAGTAAGCTGGCTTGCAAACCTTTTTCTTTATTGTTAAAGTTCATGTTAACTTTATTTTTTTATCATGTTCTTCTAATTTGCTCCACATAAAATTCAGTTCAACAGCAAAATCACAAAATAATAAAAAACAGTATATCTTAGGATTTCCGATAAACAATCGCTGGCGCTGGAGATAAAAATGTTTTTTCCAGTACAGTGTTGCCACTGCTCGCTTTGAAATTGTTGAGTTCATCAAAATTTCGTTAAATTTCTACAACATTTGAAATTGATAATAAAACAAATTTGAAATTCAAAATTTGGACTTAAGTGTTCGTTTGGAGGACTACGTTATTCAAAATTGAATGGTTCTAGGTACTTCTTTCTTTTTTTTTTTTTTTTTTTTTTTTTTTTTTTTTTTTTTTTTTTTTTTTTTTTTTTTTTTTTTTTTTTACAGAATGCGAGAAAATTTCATGCATTCATGCAAATTCTTCATTATTTAGATACTTTAAATATAATAAATACATGGCGATAATATTTGGTGGCAACAGTTTGAAAAGTGAATCAACACAGAAAGTGAAACGACGCAAAATGCCGTTTTGAGACTAATAGCCCATTGAGTTTAACGCCCCTTTAGGCTTTAAAAAAAAAAGAAAGAAAGAAATCTGAAGGTGTTAGGACCAAGAATCTCGAAATACAAACTCGAAGAAATAACTCTATCTCAGAAACTCATTGCATTTTCGAATTCAACCACCGAAAAGATTTTTAAATATGAGTGAGTTATATGCAAAATGAGCGTGGCCTAAAATTTCTGCATAAAAAGTGACTTTCATGGATGTAGCGCACTCTGATTACTCAGTAGTAGGATAATCGAGAATGCGTGATCTTGTGGCTGTGCCTTTAAAATATCACTAAAAGAGAGTAAAAACGAAAAGAATTCACAAACCCATCAGCGGGCAGAAAGCCTTAAAGAAACGATACACCCAAAGTAGACGAGTCTTCCTTTGTCAACGTGTTTAAGATTTAAAATCATGGTACGCCAAAATCCTTGCAGTTAAAGGCTCGAAGATGATGAAAAACGCACACACTAAGTAGGCACACACTTATGTATACGCAATTTCATAAACATTAATCATTCATCCAGTTTCACTCAAAACAGAAAATACAGTCATTCTGGATAAAATATCATCAAATTATACTTAACACAAAAAAATTGCAATTTTAATAATCCTAAAAACACAAAATAAAAGCATAAATTGAAAAGCTCACTAACATCCTTGCAACACCCATCGCGTTATACACCTTCGTAAAGGATTTTCTGAGGGAAGCCGGCTCATATTCACGATACATATGAGATAAGCCAACCCTGCAAGCAGTCCGTTCTCCAGGACATGAATTAAAGCCAAGATTAACTACCAGTATTCAGCGGCCTTAACCAGTCCGCCACTGGTGGAGCCATATTATGGAATAAAAGGGATCGAAGCAAACGAGTTTAGTCATTAATAGTGTGACCCTATTAGGCGTCCTGGAAAAACTTTTAAACACCATCAACAAAGATGTCGGAAAAACACGAGTTTGATTATTAACCAAGAATGCACGGAATGTTCGAAAGTGTTTTCGTATTTTCACTTCAATTTTTCAAGCAATTCGCAAACCTTGACTATTTTGTATTCTCCTATGTATTAAATGCACACACAGAAAAGCTTAAAAAACTCCTCTAACATTGGATCGCTTCCATTTTTGCCTCATAAACAAGTTGTTTCAAATCTTGGGAGTGCGCTCATGCTTGTAACTGCATTAGATGCGGACAAACAGTATGTTACAGTAGAAAAATAATTAACATCGAAAAGAAATAACAGGTAAACATTTCGGTAGTTCTATCCAAACCCATGACTACACGAAGCAAAACGTTTCAAAAAATGTCATACTCAGGAAAAACATGATTAAAAGTAATGCTGTAACAAATCCTATATTTCCTCGATTTCGAAACCTAAAATACTCTTGAATTTTTCAAATTCTGACGAAAGAAATGATAAGAAAAAGAGGGGAATTAAAAACCGCTTTTACATAAGTAAAGCAAAATATAAATTTTGCATTTAATGAAGCATAAATTTAGGAATTAAGTTTTTAAAAATAAATGTACATTTGCTAAAAGGATATCAATTAAATTGTTAAATCAAATATATAATTAATCTTAAAAGTTTAGTTTCATTTTCTTAGCATAATTTGAAGAACATTATTTATATAACAAATGTAACAAATGTTGAAGATACTAAAGCATAAATGTCATGAAAAAAATATTTATGTAACCAATCCTGAGAATCTAACAGTTTCGAAGGCCAGGTAAATTTTTTTTCTTCAGCAGCGAGGTGAAAATGTTGAAGGAGAAATCTGCTCATATGATAACATTGGACCCAAAACTCAAGAAACATTCCAGCTAAGAGAAAGAAAAAGCTGTCTGTCGCCATCTGTTGACAAAAAGTGAAATAATAATAATAATAATAAATAATAATTTCCTTAAAAGTTAAAAGTAAGGACGGATTTGAATTGTGATTATTAACTGGAACTAAAAGAATTTTAAGAATGAGGAATTCTTCCAAAAAATCTAATTTGCCAATAGAATATATTTTTAAAATAATTTTAACAGCAAAAAAGTAGTTTTTCGATCTGCAATTTTGAACTAGATTCGTGTATTGTTTACCTAAAATATGTTTCATACTTCTTAGTGCGAAATTCCAGTTTGATGAATGTATATTAAGACACATAGGTAAGGAATACTGTATATAGCTCATAAGCCTAATATTGGAAAAAAGAAACGCAGAAAGACACATGAGAAGGAGCATGAAACATGTATTAGGAAAAAAAAAGAGAGAGAGAGAAACGCAGTAATTCTCTATTGCTCAATACTGCTGGTCAAAAAGTCACATTTTCCTTTTTTTTTTTTTTTATTTTCAGCCAAAACTATTTAAAAAACATCTTCTGTTAGTCAATTAGATTTCTGAGGGTTTCATATTCATGAAACATTTTCAGCTGTAGTTAATGATCCCAATTCAAATCCGCTCTTATCTTAAGCTTATTCATAGCAAATTATTCATCATCAAATTATTCCATAGTTGTTTTTATTTTTTGTTAACATTTGTTGACAATAGCTTTCCTTTTCCTTAGCTGGAATTTTTCTTGAATTTTTTTGTTTATTGTTATCAAGTGAGCACATGTTGCGCCTTAGTCTATTTAGTTCTGCAGCTGAAGAATTAGGTTCTGTTTAAATTCTGAAATTAATCCTGCAAATTTACTCTGATTCTTATTGCTTTAGTATCCTCTACCTTTAACCACACAGATGATATGGTGATTAGGGAAGCGTACTGCGGTACCGAAAGGCAGCGTTTCAAATCCCGGAGCATGAATTTTTGTAAATGTATAGTGTCTTTGGGGCATGGGGGCACTCTAAATATACGGCGAGCCGAAAGTCATCTTGTGTGTTTTGGTGGAAGAGGAGAGGGGTCGGAGACCCTTGGACCTCACCGCTAGGAGTGCTCTCCCTCAAAAATAGGTGGAAGTAGAAAGACAACCACCTTGAGGCTCTGGCCACCATTCTTCCATGAAATACATGGACGAAACAACAACATTTTCTACATTTATGTTTCGGCTTGTTGTTGTAGTTAATATAACAGTTACCTTTTTTTACAATTTTCTGAATTCCTTTTAAAACCAGAGAAAGTATAGAGAGCAAGGTTAAATTAAACTCTTAAATTGACTCCATGAAATAAAAAAAAGACAAAAACTTCACCATTTTAAGAGTTCTTGAAAGCACACCTGCGATGACCGCTTCAGGGTTGCTCCTAGTACTTCTGAAACTGTAAAAACCGCTTTCTCTTTTTTTAAAATAAACACGTCTAACGGACTTCAGTGAAGCTATTTTTTTCCTAACTGAGTTTGGAAAGCTTCAAACGTTGTTTAAAGCAAGAAATTCCAATTTTCAAATCTCGAGTCCTTTTTAGGATTCGTAGAATTCGAGGATTCGGATGTCTTATGCCCTTATTAAAAATATTACATCTCATTGAAATGGTAAATATTCTTTTAATTAAAATTAATTTTACTGGTTTCATATTAGCAATAACTCATTTAACTTGTCTTCAGGTCAGTGAAGAAGCAAAATTATTCCAAGCAGCCCATTCTCTTGCCGAGAATCTAGTCTGTCTCCCAACCAACTTCATTCATTTCATCAAAGTCAGCCACCCGCCGTGGGTTTTAAATTTATGAAATAATCCGTTGGTAAAATTTCTCTTAGTTACAATGCATAATCAGTGTGAATTTTGCATTAAAATAATTCAATTTGTCGCGGATGGATCATTAATATGGATCATTCAATACGTAAGATTTCAATAAGAAAAATTAAAAGGCAATAAGATATCCTAGGGAAATAATGAACATTATTAATATGAATAAGAAGACTACTGGAAATGAGAATTAGACCTTCTTTTATATATGTTTTTATTTGGAGTGGTCTATGTATAAGTCTGTGGTCTATGACGAGTTTTATTTAATTTTAATAACTATTATATTTTTATTTTTTAGTCTCGTTTAGCGTAAGTGTTGCTTTAATTGATTGGCTTTGCAACGTTATGCTTTAAAAAACAGTAATTTTAAGTTTGCTATGTTTTTTCTTTTCTTATCTTTTTCTTTGTTTTCTGTTACTCGAGGCCTGACTTGATTTCTCTGGGGCTAGTTTAATTTTGTTGATTTGGCCATTTTTGGAGAGAGAGGATGCAGCCGGGTTGTTGGATCCCTCGTATTTGGTTGGATCGGCCGATCCTCCTTCTAGTCATATGGCCAGATACTAGGTGGACTGGGGGCTGCGCCCGTTAATACTAATACTGATACTAATTCAATTTGTGGTGGTGAATGTATTCAATTAACATTAGAAAACTTGAACGCATAAAAAATTTCCAGGGTTATATTGCTTTTGAAGATGCAAGACTATTTTTAGTAAATGAGTTCTCTTCTCTTGCTTTTATTAAAAAAACAAATTATTTCTGTTATCGTAATTTATACCAAATGTTACCTTAATTCAGTATTGATTATTTAATCTTTCTAAAACATTAAAATGTGTGATGTCTTCTTTTTAAATTACAGAAAGATCAACAGCCTCAAGACGAATACCAAATTTATATGTACCTTTACTTTGTGCTGTTCATCATTTTTGGGTCATTTTTTACTCTTAATTTATTCATCGGTGTTATCATTGACAATTTCAATGAGCAAAAAAGAAAGATAAGTATCTGTTTCTTTTTCTATTGTATGAAGTATATTGTATAATGTATCGGTACAGAGTCTTGCCTGAGATGTGTAAATTTTTGCATTAACAATGAATTTGTGAAATTCCTTTGTAAGAATGTCAAATTAAATTCGATTCAGTGTTGCTTAAAAGATCTGATATATACTCATTGGTGCTTGAGGAGAGTTTTTATGTAATTTATGATTATTAGACTTATTATACTTTATTACGAAAAGAAAGAGAGAGACAGTTCTATATCTTCCGATATATATACTGGGCCTATGGACGAAATTAAAATTCAATTTTCATGTCTCGAAAATGCGACATAGGATATATATTAGATTTGTACATAGCATTGTTCTAAAATAGGTATTTTGACACAAAATCGAACATTTTCGGAAACGACATACCATTTTTTTTTTCCATATTTCAATTCTACCACTCAAATTTTGCCTAAATATAAAATTTTGTAAAATTTGGTGCGAAATTTAAGGAGAAATTCAAAAATTTATCTTGCCACATTTTTTTTCAGTTTGCACCAAAAATAGTTCACTTGACCAACTTCTTAATTTATAGCAACCTATTTTTCTTTACTTTTTATCATTGTACAGGAGCAGAAAAAAGTCATCATTCATCCTTTCGAATAATTTTAACAAGTGCGTTAACCACGTTTGGCATTATTATCGCTGATGACAAATATGCCAAATTTCAAAACGCGCCAATATATAAATTCACGCATATCATCATTTTATCAGATATTTACCGTGAAATGCTAAGAGATAATTAAGAGATAAGTGTTTTTGCAGAACTTACCTTAAGATGTTAAAGCATTTATCAGAAATTTAACATTTAAAAGCATTTATCAGACATTTACATAGTTTGCTGACGTCATTATGATTCCTATACGCAGGAGGTTCTCTCGAGATGTTCATGACAGAAGATCAAAAAAAGTATTATAATGCAATGAAGAAGATGGGTTCTAAAAAGCCTGCCAAAGCCATCCCCCGACCCCAGGTAAATACTTTCAAAAGAAAGAAATTAACTTAAAATTTTTTGTTTTAATTTCTTTTTTAGGATTTAAAATTATAAAATAGTTTAGTGCCATATTAAAATATGCCAACATCTATACTATTAAAATATGTGCGCGTCTGTCTTTTTGTTTTGTGACATTATTTCCAACGGAACGACGGGTAATTGAGTTCGAGAGATGTACCTTCGCATTCCGAAAATTGGTAAGAAGTCATTTCGAGCATTCTCATCTTTGGACGACTTTAATTAGCTGGGATGTTAATTAAAAGCTCTAAAAACGTTAATTTTTGCACTCATTTTTCCGAGTGAAAACAGTGTCGCGCCCTACCTATGAGAATCTGCTTTATTTTGAAAAGTGTTGCCACTGTTCGCTTTCAATTGACAGAGTTTGTTAATAAAAAAATGTGTAATATAAAATATGAAATAAAAATAGCATTCATTAGCATTAAATATATTGTTATTATGTAAAGTTGTATTATGACGTTGCAGAAAGCTCGCGATTGCATGTGACGTCATCGTATCTCAAACATGGACCTTATAAGAAATAGACTAACCCAGAGGGCGGGGCGTGCGTCACACACTTGTCGGGAAGAGAGAGTAGAGACGATTTAGTTTATCGTAACATTGAAACATATGGCGTTTGTATCACATAACTCTTTTTAATTATTAAGTGTGATACGTTGTATAAATGATGAGATAATAAAAATAACAGTTTCTGCTAATAAGATTTTATATATCTCATGAAACCACTTTTTAGTACATTTTGAGTATTTTTTTTACTGCATTTTGGGCATAAGCGTAATTCTTGTCTAAACATCAAACGGTAAAAACTCTGAACAAAAAATTTATGAATTTACTTTTGCCTACAAATAAAGTAAAATTAAGTAAGATTGATAGTACATGATGCTATGAAACAAATAAGGTAAAAATTAAACAAGATTTGGTAATTTTTTTTTTTCATTTTATGAACATTTTCAGGCAGTAGTAGCAAATATTTATCATTTCAAATGTTAATAGAAACCAAGGATTGTTTTATTTATTTTTTCTGTTTTCAAAATTATTATGGTATTAAAAGATGATCATTTACGACAATATTAATAACTCAAAAAGTTCGGAGCATAAACTTTTCTGAGTGTAATGAAAAATTTAAAAAAAAAAATTCGCAGTAAATAAAAAAATCTTATGCGGAACTATAAATAAATTTAAAAAAAAAATAATTACTATAAAATACAAGATATTATATGTCCAATCTTAAATTTTTATTAATGCGCCTAAAGTAACCTTGTAATTTTATATACCTGTAAATACTTTAAGCAGACAATCATGTAATTGACATCCATAAATACATATGTATGAAAGTAAACAATTTAGGATATTTGTAGCATGAAAAATTCGCTTACTTCACTTTTTATTTCAAATATTTGTGAAAACAAGATTATATCTATTTATCTATTAATGTAAATACACACATATATATATATATTTACAGAGAGAGAGGAAGAGAAACAGATAATATGCTTTATTGATGCTTAAATAAAATTAATTTAGTAAATCTGCTTCGAATATTTCCTCTCTGTTTAGATTCATTGTAACATGCAACTGCATGATGCATTCTGATTTTTAAATATTGAAATATCACTGCTTTAATTAATTTAATCAGATGGTTTTTACCTGGCTCATCATCATAAATATGGTTTTGAAGTGAAGGAAATATATGTGTTCCTACGCTTTTTAAGACTTTTAACGTCATGAAATTTATAATATTTTTTTTATTCAATTTAAACTCCTTTTCAGTCTGCCTAAAAATTATTTCTGCATTTTTGCAGATCATTCGGACGTCACTGGAAGGAGAAGTCAAACCTTTACATCCAGATTTATAATATTTGACACCTAGCAAACCATCATATGGTTCTGTTAAAACTAAAGCTGAGAACAGATATTACATTTACTTTATAAGCTAAGCTTTTAACAACAAAACCAGCTATATAAGATGTATACTTTTCGTTCTTAAATATTCTTATTTTTGATTAGTTATAATGCTAGGAATTAAAATTTACCTATAATTTAAAAAAGCAGCAAAAAATTATAAATTTTAAGAAAAAACTTTCAAAAATTCATTTTTAGGCATTTTAGTATTTAGCTATAGTTTAGTATTAGTTATAGTTTTAATAATTGTAAGAGAAAATTACTTGGTTTGAATTTTTCTGTTAGTTCAGATTAAAAATATTATTTTTTAAAAGAAGAAGTTACTAATTCGCTTACATCATAGGAAAAGCTAAAAATATATACCAGCCTGAAAGCATGCAACAGCTTTATAATTATTTAGAACGTTAATTATGCTTGAAAAACATGCTAAATATTTAAAAAGTCCAGGAATTAAAATTTAAAATTTTATTTGAATAAACACAGTAGTGTTTACAAATGCTGCTCTTTTTGATCTCTCCAAAGGAAAACCTAAAAGAAAACGCTTTATCTTCATATGTGACGACCTGCATTTATCCATGGCGGCCCGTAGAGCAATCACAAAACATCCGATGGTTCAGTTTTCTAATGCTATTTATTATTCGTTATATTTACATATTTACAACTGTCCTATTGTTAGGTGGACTACCTTCACAGAAATCATGTTGCCTAATCAAACGACATTTCGTTTCTACTTACATGCATTGCGCTACTGCCAAGCAGCGCCCTCTACTTCTCTCTTTACAACACTCCCCACCTGTGAACTCTTTAAGTTCACACAAACCGAATACAAAATAAACCAGTATTTCTAAATCAAACACAACATTTGAATACTCTATAAACTACATCAAATTACAAATAACAATTAAGTAATGTTTAAACACGTTAAATCAACTTATAAAGTAATTACTAAATAAGAAACATTATACTAAATCAAAATTCGCAATAATTATATAAACTAAACTACATTTAGCAACAATCAATAAAGATACTCTGAAGATGACATATGTGCAAACAACAAATTAGATTATTACACTGTAACTCTTTACTACTAATTATGCACTTCAAGGTTGTACAGCAATTGTACTGGTCTCTTTAGATTACCTGTTTGAGTTTTAATGAGACAACGAGCGAACCTGACCATCTCTGCCAGGATAAGTTTCTATTATCTTACCTAGTGTCCACAAATTCCTAGGTAAACGGTCGTCATGTACAAGGACTACGTCATTAACATTAAACTGACCAGACACTTTAGTAGGTGGACATAAATTCACAGATCTTAAAGAAAGCAAGTAATCCTTCCTCCACCTATTCCAAAAGTGGTTTAACAAGGTTTGTTGATGTTTATACCTTTTGATCAAGGAATGTCTAGACCCAATCAAGTCTTCTCTGCACACTCTTGTAACTGGAAGAGAAAGTAAACGTTTACCAATTAAGAAATGAGCAGGAGTTAGCGGTGAGGGTTCTGAAGGGTCATTGTAGACATACGTTATGGGTCTTGAATTAATTATGGCTTCGATTTCTACGAAGACTGTTTCTAGCTCATTCAAACAGAGACTAGAACGTCCAACTATTTTCCTTAAACAAGTTTTGATCGTTCTAAAATGCCTTTCCCAGAACCCTCCCCACCATGCTCCTTTTTCCACAATAAACTTCCATGTTATACCGTGGGAAGAAAACAAATTTTGTACAGATGGATGTTGAATACACTTCCAAATTTTTCGCAACTCGAGATCAGCACATTTGAATGTCTTGGCATTGTCCGAATATATCGTTGAGCACAATCCACGACGAGAAATAAACCTGCGAAACGCAAGCATGAAATTCTCCACGCTCATAGAAGGGACAAGTTCTAGATGTAAAGCTCGAGTTGTAGCACATGTAAACAAAAGCAGATAATGTTTATTCTTGCTGTCCTTTGTAAAAAAGGGACCAGCATAATCCAGCCCTGTTACAGAAAATGGAGATGATTGAAGAACACGATCAGGTGGTAAAGGAGCGGTTTCCTGTGTACCGGCACGCACCTTGTATCGTTTACACAAAAAGCACTTACTTAACGTGGACTTGACGAATTGGCGTCCTTTTATGATCCAAAACTTTTCTCTAATATCGGCTAAGGTAGCTTCGACTCCAGCATGAAACAATTTGTTATGAGACTCAAAAATTACTAGTTCACTGTATCTATCTTTATAAGGTAACAGCCATGGGTGTTTTTCTTCGAAAGCAAAGTCTGAGAATTGAAGTCTGCCCTTTAAACGCAGAAGACCATGGGTATCCAATTCTGGGTTAAGTGAATAAATCGACGATGTCTTTTCTAAGCATTTTCCACTTGATAGATCTAGAATCTCTTTCGCAAAGTATTTTCGCTGTGTAACTTTTACCCAATAGAGCTCAGCTCGCGCGAAATCTCAACAGAGCTTAATGGACCTTTGACTTTCACTGAATTTCGTTTTATATTGTTGGTAAACCGCATAACATAAGCCGTAATTCGATACACCTTCAGCAGCCTGCTGAATCGCGTTAACTCTAGTAATGCCGAAGATTCTACGTCTTGAACAGAAACATGAAGAGATGTTTGCACCCTTGCTTCGTTCTGAACGCTCTCCTCGTCGATGTTGGTCTGAGACAGCCAGCTAGGTCCCTGTAACCAAAGGGAACTTCTCACAAGGATTAAAGGCATTTTCTCCTCGAGATAAAAGGTCAGCAGGGTTTTCACTCCCACTGCAGTGAAACCAGCATTCAGGATCCGTGAGTGACTGAATATCAGAAACTCTGTTTGATACAAAGGGTTTCCAATTTCTTGCACATCCCTTTATCCAGTAGATATTATTTGCTATGGGAGTTCTGTGTTTCATCTACTGAATTGTCTCGCGAGCTTTCGCACAATTCTTTTATGTTTTGATTTGAAGCCGTTCGCGCTTTGTTACGATTTGAACTACTACTCGTACATAGTGACTCATGATGCGACTTAAACCCGCATTTTAAGCAGTTAGTTTTATTTCTGCACGATTTCCAAATGTGTGATATTTTCGAAAACAAATAAAGCATCTATTTTCAGTACGTAACTTACACAATTTTTCTTTAATGCTTTTATCACAAGAAAATGAATTATGGGACTTTTCGCAGAAGATGCATGCACGATTATCAACAGCATTGAAACTGGCAGCCGTAGGTACATTTCTGTGAATTTTTTTATAATCAGACTTAGCATGTTCGAAACGTGGAGGCAAGGTATTTCTTTTATCTCGCGTCAATAAACTCGACGCTTCACGACATTCAATTTCCCGCTTTATGAAGTCCAACAAGTCTGAAACATTAATTTCTTCATTTGGGTTTTTCCTTCGATTAAATTCCAGAACGAACTCTTCTGGAATAGCTTTTAACAACACAGGTATTAATAACTGACCAAATGAACCTTTCGTAACTCCTTGCGCTTCCAAATTCCGAACTGCAATTTCGATTTCATCATATAACCTACGTAAAGCTTTAATATTATTTGAATTCCTTACTGGTTCTAAATTTAACAGTTTGTTCATGAATTGACTAATTATTATTTCTTTTTTCCCGAATCTATCCTTTCAAAGATTTTTATACTCTCATCGTAATTTTTTGCATTTAATTCTAATGAAGATACTACATTACTCGCGGCACCTGTAAGTAATGTTTTCAAGTATGCGAATTTTTCTATCTTACTAAGACTTTCGTTTTTGTCTATAGTGCTTTCGTAACTGTTCCAAAACTCCGTAAATTTTTCAGGATCACCTGAATATTTCTCTAAAACTAGTTTTGGAATTACTGTACTTTGTACATTTTGCAGTCTAACCAAGTTTTGTTCAGGATCTTTAATACTTATTTTATCCTCTTCCAACATTCGATTAATTCGTTTAATAGCTCGAGAACATTTTTCCTGATATTCCTCAGAACTAACTATATCCGCTTCTAGAGAATCTATCTCAATTACGGAATGAATTGCCTCGTGTAATTCTTTCAAATTACTTTTCTTTTCTATTAATAAATAATTCATGCACTTCGCATAATTCATTTGTATCTTTCTTTGCTAAGCTATCCTCGACTTTCTTTAATAGTTTAGATACTACCGTTCTCAATGCGGTTCTCTTTCGTTTTAATCTATCTAGTTCTGTTCTGCCATTATTTCGCGTTAATACACAAATGTACCCAAGACTGCAAATTATCAAAATTCAAATCAAACACGTTCAAAATTTAATAATAATCATGCTCTTACCTAGGGCATGGTCTGGACACATACTTCCTCGTGAAGTTCACTTTAACAAATCCAAACTTTCCGTAAGATGCACCATTGTGACGAACCTGCATTTATCCATGGCGGCCCGTAGAGCAAGCACAAAACATCCGATGGTTCAGTTTTCTAATGCTATTTATTATTCGTTATATTTACATATTTACAACTGTCCTATTGTTAGGTGGACTACCTTCACAGAAATCATGTTGCCTAATCAAACGACATTTCGTTTCTACTTACATGCGTTGCGCTACTGCCAAGCAGCGCCCTCTACTTCTTTCTTTACAACAAGGTCCATGATCTTAATCTTTCGTTAATATCAACATTTTAAATAAATAGCTGATGCTGGCATTTTTGTTTCGGGTTAGGATAACTGACACGTTATGTTATTGTCACATCAATTCTGTTATTGATATTGAGAAAAATTTATTATTATATTACATTATATCTAAATCAATACGTCATCCGTATTAACCTGAAGTGTCAAAAATTTTTGTTGGTAACGAAAAACTATTTACGAACTGGTTTTTGCTTGGAAAGAATGAGCTGATTGCGTTCATACTGAAATGTTTTTATGTATTTTAATTTCAGATGTGCACAGAACTTATAAATTTTGCTTTGGCCGCAGCCTGCTAATTTTAATTTTAATTTGCATTTTGTCAATCCTTTTAAGAAATAGTTGCCAGTAAATGTAAATTTACAATGGCTTTAATTGTTAATGAGTAATTACGTTTAATTCTGGCTTCTGAATTGCTTGCTTTTTACTGGCCTAGACATGGACTTATGAATATGTTTGTTATTTCTTGAGCTATGATAGTGCAGAATTAAGTGATGTTCTAAAACATATCTTAATTTTAAAACATAAAAAAGAAAATCTCAAAGGTTTCAGATTTTAAATTACGTCCAAATGGGCGTTTTTTAACATTCTGTGTTACCTTTATTTATTAAATATCGTGTTCTTCGCACTTAAACCATAAAATTCAGTTCAAGAGCAATAATGCAAAGTAATTTTAAATTGAGCGTGTCTTTAGAATTTCCGACACATAATCTCACGCGCTGGAGATAAAAATGTTTTTACTGTATAACGTTGCCATGGCTCGCTTCGAAATCCTTGAGTTTGTTAATCAGAAATCCGTTAAAGTTTTACAAAATATGAAATTGATAATAAAACAAATTCCGAATTTCAAATTTGGGCTTCCACGTACCCATATTCGGTGGAGTATTACGTCATTCAAAATTGGAATGCTCTAGATACCGTTGTTTTATCACAATGCGAGAAACATACATACATTCTATGGCGAATATTGCTCGTTGCCTACTATCACCCCCCTAAAATTTTACCCTCTTGTTCAGATTCACCCTGTATGTGTGCCTATAACACACAACTTGAAAATTTTATATAGTTTTTGGGTCCCTAATCTTTATTTTCAGATATATATTTTATGAAAATACTGACTTTTTTTTTCATTTGCTTTTTCTAGTTCAAACTTCAAGCTGTCGTGTTCGACTTAACAACCAACAAGAAGTTTGATATGGCTATCATGATATTCATCTGCCTGAACATGACCGTTATGGCCTTGGACCACTACAATCCCACACATTTATTTGATGTCATCCTTGAGCGCCTGAATATTTTTTTCATTGCCATTTTTACTGCGGAATGTGTGCTCAAGATTTTTGCACTGCGCGTGTATTATTTTAAAGAACCGTGGAATGTTTTTGATTTTGTAGTTGTCACTTTATCTATATTAGGTAAGTATCCCACTAACTATTTTCTTTTCTTATGATAATGTAGTTTATTTAAAGTATAACGTCTAAAATCTATTAAGCCACTAGGCCTCAAAAGAAAATACAACTCGAGGAAATTATTCTAACTAACAATAAAATTGCTACCATATGATTCCAAAGTCTTCTCACGCTCCATGTTATTTGCCCCATAGGCGTGTATTTCTTGCCTATATTTCATCTCAGATGATGAACATTACATGTTATCAGTCAATCAGCATCTTCTGAGAGTGATTTGTTCGACAGATCCAAAGACTGAATCTTCTAATCAACTGCATATCTTAGCTGATGGAGCTCTCACTCACTAAAAACAAATCCAGGAAAGTAATGTAACTATCTACACTATAAAAGTCTCACTCTAAAAACATAACAACAATTAAGTTATTTAAAAGTTGAGATAAGTGAAACAGAGCGTAAATGCTCCCTTGACGGTAAATTATTACATGATCATGTTCGTGTAGAAGTGCAAAGGGACACCCAAATGTTTCTTATGAAAAAATGGGTGTAATCCATTTTTCCATGTAAAAATGGGTGTACTTCAATTATTTATTAAAATTTAGGGCATATAAGTTACATAATACATAATTAAGGACATATGAATAAAGAGATTACAAGAAATGTTAACAAACGGTGCCATAGCACTTATATACTTTGAGTACATATCCAGTACTTTTTTACACTAAAATTTTGTTAAAAAATTAATTTAGCATATAACAATGAACTATATAATAAACGGATAATAATTAATAATAAATCAAATGGTGTTTGTATGAAAAACCAAAAGTCCTAAAAAAAACATAACATTGAAGTGGTTAATTAAAACAGAGTTTTTCTCCTTTTGATGACAAATATATTAATGTCTTTTCTATTTTTTTCCGCAGGTATTTATTTTTTATTGCAAATTTTATGAAAGCGTTAATATTTATATAAGGGATTCTGATATGTGATGCTTTTGTAAAGGAGAATGTACAGTACAAAGTCCGTAATACGGACTTCCATTATCCGGAACGATCTGTTATCCGGACCTCAAAGCCACAAACCTTTTTTGTATGCTTTACGTATGCGCGTTTAATGTATAACGGACGGTATAAGCTAAACTAAAATTATCTTTACTAATTTTAAGGCATTTCAGTTGATGTTGCAGATTGCGCTGTTCCTTAATCTTCTAATTGGATCCGGCTTATTAATTTTGCAGACTGTTAGAGCAATTTTATAAAAATTAAGCTTGAACTTTCGATTATGTCAAAAAGAGTTTCCAATTCTGGAGCTGCCAAAGGATCTACAAAGCGAAAGCATGTTTCGATGTTCATCAAACAAAAAGTGGAATTGCTGCAAAAAATGGATAAAGGCATATCCGTCTCAAAATTATGCGAGGAGTATGACACTGGAAAGTCAACTGTATATGACATAAGCAAAAAGAAAAAGGAACTTTTTGAATTTTTTGTGGATTCCAACACCTCACTTGCAATGAATAACAGAAAAAGGGTTCGTTATGCTAAACGTGACGATCATGACAAAGTGATGATTGAATGGGTCAGACAGCGTCGCAGCGAGGGCGTTGGAAGAAATGTTTAATAAAGTAAACAAATAAATATTAAGCTCTTTTTTTGTAAATTTTGATACCCTTTAGGTCAGAATTGCTCTTTATTTCATAAATTACGGTTCCATATTTTTAATTGTATAATTTCTGCATACCGTCTTACCAGATTTAAATTGATGATCTATAATCCGGAAAAAAACCTAATCCGGAATCGCTGAAGTTCCGACGAGTCCGGATTACGGACTTTGTACTACTAATATAATGTTCTGGATATCCTATTTCCCCACATATACACAAATTTGTTGTTGAAATATTCCTTTGATGAAAGTATATGGGAAATGGACCATGTCCTGTGAGAAAGCAATTAATATGATGGTTAGCTTTTTTACAATTTTTCAGATACCTGGGGGTTAAACTGGTCTCCTGTTTGTTATACTTGTGTGAAACCCGATACTTGTAGATTAAACTGATCTCTAAATCTATTTCTCCATATTGCCAGTCATTTCCCATATGTTTAGTTTTATATTGTTAAGTTGAAATTTTAGGTATGATTTAGGCCATAGATGAGAAATAAAAAATGGTATATCTTCACTTGTTATGGCTTGTTTGGCAGCTGCATCAGCTTCATTCCCTTGGATGCCTATATGAGCTTTAACCTATGCGATTCTAGGAAATAGACTTGGGTGTTTCGTGGTGTTATTGATGATGTCTTGCACTAGTTGAGAATTATACTTATTATTTTTAAATGCACGTATTGCAGATTGGCAATCCCTAATAATATTTGTGTAATGCAGCTTGTTTTCAATTGAATAATTTATTGCTAATATTATTGCTATTAGTTCAGCTTGGAAGGTACTATTTTCCTTTGTAAAACATGCTTTGAGTATTATTTTTTCATTTGAATTTGTTAATATAATACATGCACTTCCAACTCCTGTTTCCATTTTCGAATCATCTGCATATATTGTTGGATACGTAGAGTTTGTAAGAAGTGGTTTTACTGAGCAGTAGATTCTCGGGGTTATTGCCGGATGTTCGCTGTATGGATTTATTGGTGATTCGTATTTGGAAAGGTTGAGGAATTCTTCTAAGATTTTAAATGGTTTTCTTAATCTGAGAACTGTTCTTTTCCATTTTCTGTCTGTGCTGTGATATATAGAGGCGGGATTCCGGCAAGTATGCAGAAGGCTGTATTTGAAGTAGTTCTAAAGGATTTTGTAATTCGAAGAAGGACTGGTCGTTCAATTGCTTGTAATAAATAGCTTTTGTTTTCTTATTGTGATTGGATCAGACCAAATTTCAACTTCATATAATAATACTATTTTTTCTATTGAGTGTTCGGAAGATAATTTTTTGAATATGAGGGTTTATGCCCCAACTTAATCCCTGAATTTTACGAAGGTTATTAGATAATTCTGATGTTTTTGTTCTTATGTACTTAAGACGTTCAATCCAAATTAATTTCTTGGTAAATTATTACAGCCGGCGACGCCCTTACAAGCTCTTAATACTACATATAGCTGCAATTAAAATTCTAATCGTAACTTGGACACATAGAAAAGGCAGAGCGCCCTCTATAGGAATTTCGCACAGGATTTAACTTCTAAAATTAGAAGTGTCGGAGCCCTGTGGAACACTGTCAAGATAGAAGACCTAAAATAAATAAATTAAATTACAAGTAAAATAATCAATAATTATTAAAATTAAATAATTAATGATTATCATAATGAAACAATTAATATTAAAATTTAATAATATGTAAAGAGATAAATTGCTGATTTTGGGTAAATATTTCATATCTTAAACACTCATACGCATTACGGGGTGTTACAAGCGTATTAGAAGCACAGATATCTGCAGAACAACATCAAGAGCCATGCGAGATAGCCCAAGAATAATCTTGAAGAATGTGGCGAGAAACATGCGCCATCTTGTGGATTTTTGTATTGAAGAACATCATGATCATTTCCAGTTGCTTTTGTAAAAGAATCTTTTCGTTCACCCCTGTTGTACTGTAATAGTACTACTGATTAATATTGTAAAAGAAATTAAATCCGTGTAAAATAAATGCATCTTCCTAGATTAGAGTTTGGGAACATTTGAGTCACACTTTGCTGATATGATTGAAACTTGTATGCTAAACAGCTTCATTCGTAAGACGAAAAACTGCATCTAGTTGTCTTTCAAAACGAGATGAGACTTTCAACTTGAAAACTCCTGAAATTCCCTAATTGCATAAACAGAACTTATGATTTTTGGAGCGTTATTTATGTAGTGATAAAATGTTTATCAAAATTTGTATGAATGAAGTACACAATTGTATAAAATTATAAAAATTTTCCTGTACTCTAAAGTTTAAGAAGATAGATAGTGGCAATAATCATAAATTTCCCAAATATCTACAGGATGTGGCATATGATGTTACCTCTTTTCAAAATAACATAATACATTCAATATACGCAGGAAATGTACAACTAAACACTTAAATATATCATTAGCTTGGATTTACAAAACAGGGCCTCACTTCTTCAACGCAACATCTTAGCATGTCTTCTCTGATAACGAAAACATTGCTGTCTCCAAGGCGCATTTGTCATGGCGTGACGTAGAGGGTCCTGCGTCGTATTTTCAAACTTCCGACAAATTACATTTTTAAAAACTATTAAATTCAATCAGGATGTGAGTAAAATTGTGAGCTTCCAAAATGCTTTCATAAAAAAAAAATCCTTAATGCCAAAGTACTGCATTCCTGGACACATATTTCGTAAATGCGCATCTGTATCGCCACCGAGGGAGTGTCTTCTAGAAGGGACCAATGGGCTTTCAGTAATGTTTATATCATTTCACATGACATTTTCCGCGCTTTAAGCAAGGTGGTTGAAACTCTTTTGCCACGCAATTTCATGTGCAAAATAATTAAAGTATCGTGAATTTCTTGTGAAAATTTTCAATGCGAAGTTAGATCAAATATAAGCATATATATGTAAATATTAGAAGTCTTAACAATTTTTACTCCAATCTGTATGAAAATACAGATATGAAAATACAGTTTATACGCCATAGATTTATAACCGCGAAACAAATGCAAAATAAAATGTAAACGACAACACGCGCTCATATGCACAGTTTCAAAGCTTCAGCGTCACAAGAGCAATAGAAGCATATTCGTCCATTTTCTTAAACTCCTGTCTCAGTGGCGATACTAATGTGCACTTGTGAATTATGCTTCTTGGACTTCCATTTTAATTAATTAATGTCAATTTGGTGACATTCAATGGCTCTCATTTAATTCCTCCGACCTTTGTGTAGGAAACTCAATTAAGCAAGCATTTTAAAGCTAAGTTTTCATTGAAATCTTACCTGATATTAACCGCCTTAAAAATGCAGTTCACCGTAAGACTGCGAATGTTCCCCAGAACACTCTTTGACGCACCATGACAACTGAGCCTGAAATATGACACTAAAATATTATGTTAAAGAAATGAGGCTTGCTTTTTAAATCCAAGACACTGATTAACCCAGCCGTGTTCAGTTAGCTGTATTTATTGATTGCTATGAATAATAAAAGTGCTATCCTACTTTGAAAGTAGATAACGTTAAATACCGCACCTTGTACACGTAATTACAAATACTGACCTAGTTCTTAGATCACAAGTGTTTTTAAGCGTGTGCTTGATTTGTAATGCAATGTTGTATTAAAAGTGATTAATTAATCAGAACATAATTAATTGCGCAATTATTAGCCTAAACAATGGGTTAAGTAATTACATAATTGTTACATTAATTAGTTATAACTAATTAATTAGATAGTTAAAATTTTGTATAAATATATTATTTTATATAATTGTATTATTGAATACAATTATTATTATACAATTGTATTAATTGAATTTTAGAAAATCATAATAATTGTTAAATGTTAAAAATAATTGGTGGTATATATGATTTGAGTGCATTATTAGTTTCAAACCTCTCTAAACAGTCAAGCTTAAGTGAAATTTCAGCAAACGTTGCATATATATTGAGTGCTGTATATGTCACTAAAATTTTACTATGAACAACGTTTTCGGAACTGGTGTTGAAATGCAGGTAAGTGCCTTAATAAAATGGAAACGAAATTTAATACAAAATTTTATATTTTCTTAAATTTCATGAACGAGCTAGTGAAATGTGGATACTGGAAGAAGACGTTCTGAAGCATATAACATGCCAGTCATATATTGGTTGTTTGAATAAACTTTCTATCAAAGTTTTAGAAATTTTCAAACTTTCTATTAAATTTTAAATATTGAATAATTTCATAAAAATTCATAGATATCCTAGATTGTGTTTTCAATATAACAGCATTTTCCAGCTAACAATGTAGTTGGTATATACTATTTTGGCCCAATACCAAATTAAGTATTGGCTCAATACCGAAATTTCATGAGTACGGTGTAGGGCGTATAAATACAAACGCTAACACCTATCTTCACGAGGATAAAATTTAGATTTTCATCACTCAATTTATGGATAATGAACTCTTCAACACATATTAGAGGCTTCGTCAAGGATAATCAAAAAATTGCTTCATTCTTCCTGGTGCATTTACCATTACGCGACGTAGAGTGTCCTGCATAACATTTTCAAGCTTTTGACGAATTACATTTTTAAAGCTGTTAAAATCTGTAAGAGTGTGAGTGAAAACATAAGCTTTCGAAATGTTGTCATAAAAGGTAGTCAGTTTACTGCGTGCCCCGGAAGAGGTCCGATGAATTCAATGAAAGCATTCATTCTGACTTCACATCTGATACTCATGTGAAACATAAGTGGTAAAAATTTTTAATTTGACTGAGTGGTCTCTTAAGTTCCGGGTTAAGATTCTCATGCCTTTAGTTAATCTGCGTGAAATGGTTGTAGAATTTTCAGCAATTTCAAAGTTGTTTAAGTGCCACTAAGCCTAACGTAACCGCCATTTGTTTATATTTGAAAACTCTTTGTGGAATAGTGACTTAAATCAGTTTCTGCACTTTTCAGTGTCCTTTTGCGGAGTGGAACCAAAAGTAAATTTTCAGTTTTGTGCGCCGAAAAATTTGCCTTCTTGCCTGCTGGCCGAATTGCATTTTTTCCCGTAGAAACTCTAAAAAAATTTTTTTAACTGTTTCAACTGTATTTAGTATTTTATGTTTTTATGTATTTTAGAATTCTTAATGAAGGTGTTTTGAGTTTTTATGTATTTATGCTTTGCCGCGAAGTGAGAACTAAATTAACTGAATGAGAAATCTATCTCTGGCTTTGTGCCGATACTGAAGATAGCTACAGCACGAATTCTGTAAGATTTTGTGAATGAAATCTCCGTTTTGAAAACAATTATATTAACAAAATTTTTCACTATAATCTGTACAGAAATACACTTCCTTAATTTCCAAAACTTTTTTCTAAACAATATTTTTGTTAGTTACGTACAAATGCAAAACTTTCACGTTTCATTTTGTTTGTGGCTCCTGAATATGATTCATGATTTTAATATCAAATATCTCTGTCAATATTTGTTGTGCAGGAGTTAATTTTTTTGCGTTTTATTTTTTATATATAAAGTCTAAAATTTCCCTCAACATAAGTATGGGGACACATGTAAAAAGTTAGATTTCGTATTTTATTCAATTTTTTTTAATTTAAAAAACGAAAATATTAATATGTGTCATTCAAAATATTCTTCATATATCTAATACCAACGATTGTGAAAATAAAAGCCTGATAAGGAATGTATGAACACTGCATGTATGTACTTCTATACGTGCTTTAACGTGATTTTCTCCTGGGAATATTTTCCTATACTAGTGTTAACTTCCATAATGGAATGGTTAATTATAAACAATAATAACCTCCATTTTCAACAAGAATATCTATTTGGCATTAATTATCAATATAAAGTTGAAATAAATTTTGTTTCTGTTACACAGCGAATTCCAGGCAAATATATGAAATTTCATTATATGGAATATCAACTGCATAATTTAAAAGGTAAACTTCTCAAATTAGTTAACGTTATTAAGAATTTTGCGATTTTTTTCAAATAGGCAAAAACTATTTCATTTTAAACATAATTTATTTCATTCATATCTATTTCATTTAATAACATAATTATAAATGCCGAGTCACATTAAAAGAAACATTTTCTGATGTGTTTCTGATGTCTTTCTGATGTGTGAGAAGCAAGATCTTTCGTTCTCAATAAAATACCCTGATTTACGTTGTATGTAAAATTAATTAACTACAACTCATTAAAGAAAAGTGATTAGTTGTAGCAGGTTAAATCATAGTAGAATTTCTTTTTAAAGAGAAAAAGAAATTCTGTTATGATCTAACCTGTTTCTGTTATGATTAGTTAATCAATTTTCTTTAATGAGTTGTAGTTAATTTTACATACAACGTAAATCAGAGTATTTTATTGAGAACGAAGGATCTTACTTTTTGTGAAACTTGTATGATATATAGATATATTTCAGTAGCTATTTGATTACATATACAAGATGCTACAACTGCTAATTAATACTCATTTTTCTTTATTACAGGTATAGTTCTTAAGGACTTAATAGCGAAATATTTTGTTTCTCCGACCCTCCTCCGAGTGGTTCGGGTTGTGAAAGTAGGACGTGTGCTTCGACTAGTTAAAGGTGCAAGAGGAATTCGGACATTACTCTTTGCTCTTGCCATGTCACTTCCCGCCCTCTTCAATATCTGCCTTTTACTTTTCCTTGTCATGTTCATCTATGCCATATTTGGGATGTCTTTCTTCATGAACGTCAAGCATCGTGGTGGGGTTGATGAGAACTTCAACTTCGAAACTTTTGGGCAGTCTATGATACTTCTGTTCCAAATGTCAACTTCGGCTGGATGGGACGGTGTATTAGCAGCCATCATGGAAGAAGATGACTGTGAACCGCCATCGGAAACGTTTGAAGGAAACTGTGGTAGCAGAAACATTGCAGTTGCCTACCTTGTCTCATACCTAATTATTAGCTTTTTAATCATTATAAATATGTATATTGCTGTTATTTTGGAGAACTACAGTCAGGCCACTGAAGACGTTCAGGAAGGCTTGACAGATGATGATTACGATATGTATTACGAGATATGGCAGAATTTCGATCCAGATGGAACTCAATTCATCAAATATTCAGCTCTTAGCGCTTTCTTGGACACTCTGGAAGAACCATTACAGATACCTAAGCCGAACAAGTACAAAATTATCTCGATGGATATTCCTATTTGCGAAGGTGATCTTGTGTTCTGCGTAGATATCTTGGATGCCCTGACAAAGGACTTCTTCCAGAGGAAAGGTCGCGTGATTGACGAATCTGCTGAACTCGAGGTTGTAGTTCCCAAAGAAAGAGAGGGTTACAAACCTATAAGCAGTACACTGTGGAGGCAACGCGAAATATACTGTGCTCGTATCATACAGCTGGCCTGGAGGCGATACAAAGGACGAATCGGGGACGGTGAACCACGTCAGCAGCAAACTGCCATAGTTGTCGAGAGCGATGGACACATGACAAAGAACGGCCACAAAGTTGTGATTCATTCTCGGTCTCCCAGCGTGACTAGTCGATCGACGGACGTGTGATAATAATAGTTATTGCGATATGAACACTGGCAACCTGCTTTGAGAGCGCTTGTTGGTGACCGCTAAGTATATCTGCTTCAAGCCTATATTTTTATATCCTTTATGCAGAGGTTGTGTAGCAGTGCACGCGGTTTATGTGCTTAGTTTATAAGACCAACGGGCTTTGAGTTTGAGATAAAATTATTTTACATTACCGTATCTTTTCCACACAGAGAATAAATACCGAAAGAGCCCATTGCGCTGTTCATGAATCGCAGTGAGCGCGTTCCCCAAATACCTCTGTTAACAATCATTGCTCGAAAAGTCTTGGTCATTACGGTTTGTTTATATAAATTACTATTGAGTGTTATTTTAAATTACGTCAAACGGTTACTCTAATCAGCTGTTTGTTACTTGTTAGACTTTCTGAGGTCATTGTTTATAGATGTTTATAAAGGTTGCAAAGTGAGTTGGTGTTCCAGGTGGCACCAGGGAATCAATGCTGGCCACTCATGCCAGCAGAAGCATTTCTGATTGGCGGTAACCTCTGAATGAACTCTTGATAGCAGTGCGCATACCAATATGCTCCTACAGGGTGTTAAGTCGCGATGAATACAATTTAAAATCCTGATAGGTTATTTGTTGCTTAGAAAGTTTTACACAATATTTAACTGACCAAAGATATTTGTACAAAGGGCTTCAAAACACATATAATTGTTAAGATGCATCAGCATAGCGGTTTATTCCTCAATGCACTATTTTTGTCTTCTCCACAAAAATCAGTTTCAAATTTATATACATCTAAAGTTGCTGAATTGCGAAAGCTATTGTTTTTAAATATTATACAAGATGTAAAAGCTTGGATCATTGCTATGTTCGAGTGAGCATTTCACCTTATTTTTTAAGAAATATCATGATTTGTAACGATTGCTATTTGTGTAAAACAAAACCACTTTAAATATAATATTGTACATAACATCCTTCTGAAGAAAATATTACTTTAAACTTAAATTTATAAGACATGTACTATGATAACATTAGCGATCTAAATTTATGTGATGTTTTTACACCAGTCTTATATGGCAAGCAATTGCTGTTATATTACAAAACTTGAATAAGCTTTTTTCATCCTCGGGCATTTGCACACATTGCAAATAACTTATCCCACAGCTTGCATAAGGTAACAGTCTTTAGCGACTTGAATTTTCTCAGGCTTAGAGCTTTTCAGCACAAGAAGTGTGCTAGTAAAATTCTAAACGGAGTATGGTCATCTTCATTGCCCTTTTTAATTGCAATTCCAAAATTCGTTTTTGTAATTTGTACAAAATACATATCATCAAAACTTACAAATGGGACGAAACAAGCGGGCTTTTATAATATACTCATCACTTAACCTTCTTCGACCTTAAAATTCAATCAACTTGACCTTAAAATTCAACAACAAAGTTTGCAAGAATTAAAATCACACAAGCATCCTAATGGTCGGTATTATATTCAACTTTATATGAGATTCAAAATGTATTTTGAGGGGAAAAAAGAGCTTTATGTGTATTGAATACCTCAACATTTTCTTATCTTAAATTCCAGTTTAGAACTATTTATATAAAACTTCCGATCTAAAGCAATTTGTGAAACGGTTGTATCTTCCAACTCATTCTGCAGTTAAATTTTTTACAGCTTAAGAAATAACGCGCAGAATAGGGTTTAAAGTATTAAGCCTGTTTTCCAGACAACAAGAGTTGACTACATTCCTCCATTTTTAATCCGTGATGAGTGCAAATAACGTTAAAAAGTATTTTATTTTGTGTGCAAATGCATTAAATATGCTTTCTTTCTGTAATTCATCAACTGCCCATAAAAAATCGGTATCTACTCAGATACCAAAGTTTTATTACCTATTACGTAGTCGCTTGGTGCAAGGCTTGGAACTGCAACGAATGGTTCTTATATACTGCAGCGAAGTCACATGACCCATATAGGAGAAGCACTGTTAAGACTCCTACAAAGGATTTCAGTTGTGATGTGCCTTTCTCAGTTATTACTGTTGTTTTTCTCAGAGAAGTTTCTTAATTTTTCATCCAGCTTTTTCTTCACATTTTAAATAAAGCTAGATTTTCTGTATTTCTTGAATACCATGTCAAGGAAATTGCTCCTTTCTGGGTCAAAGGTCTTTCCAGCTATTGATTTGGTGAAGAGAAAGAATTTAAGAGCTCTTTCTTATAGGGAAGTGTATATATACTTACTTCATGCAGAATATGCCTGATCTGAGTTTTATGGGCTTGCAAACTCATATTTCGTAATTGCATTAGAAATTAAAACTGAAAGTGTTAACCATCTATTTAGTAGGGGTATTTGTGTTTGAAATTCTAATGATATTGCCATACTTTAAAGTAATACTAGAAATCATTCGTAGACGTCTATTTTACCTGTTAATTATCCATGTCAAAAAAGTGAGCTTAGTTGCTGCACATAACACAACGATCAGGAATATTTTTAAGCCTCATTAAAAATAAACAAGATTGTTATCTATATTTCTTATTCTTCCGGGAAGACCAAGAGCTGATTTGCACATTAATACAACCTTTGTCCCAGAACAGGCGCTTGCTCTTCACCCAGAGCTTTGTGTGTTTAATTTTTCATCCAGTAACATGTATACTGTTCAGTCCTGCTTACTTTACGGGAGCTCAAATTTGTGCAAATAATTTTCATCCACTACTATGCATGGCAGCCGTTTTGTCCAGTCATTCGGTGTTAAAACTTCTGAAAGATATGAAATGAATGAACGGAACACTGCTAATTAATTCAGATTGTCTGATTCAGTTTCTCCTGCCATTTTTCATTTCAATCACTATTTCTCAGTGTGATCATTTTGCTGCATGTAAAATCGCCACCGACTTTTTCTGCCAGCTAGTTTGTAATTAGGTATAACTACTGAATACTACGTTTTCTGCCAGCCAACATTATCTTTCACTGCTGCCTCAATTATTGACCGTCTCTTCTTGTCCAATGATGTTTATTGCTGCCAAACGTCCTTTTACAGCAGCTTCTCGCCGAATATTTTGCGTCACCTACTGAACAGCCACTATGAGCCAAAACAATTAGATAAACAAAGAGAATCATTGTGTTTAAATTGCACTGGATGTTCAGTTATATCCGTAGATTGAGTGGACGAGCCCCTTCTTTCCTTTCATACCACTGCTTATTATATATACATGTGTGTGTGTACATATATTATTTTATTAAATTTACGGCGCATTTGTTGAGCATAAAGTTGTAATGATCTAACGGCACAAGGTGAATAAATATATATAACATTAGTTTCTAAGCAACTGAGATTATATCTTCTAAGTAAATAATTTTTATATAAACTGAAATTATTATCTGTCATAACCTTTACGGGTTATTGAACCCTGAGTAGTTGGCTATTTTAACTTCTTGTTTGGGGTCATTATATTTAACCCCTGACATGCAGTTAAAACTCATAAAAGTAAATAAAATTATATTTGCGTGTCTGTATTTCGCAATTTTCATAAAATTTATTAGGATATCATATTAGTAAATTTATCAAATTTAGTAAGTAATCATATTTATTATCAATCAAATTTAGTAAGTAATCATATTTATTGTCAATCAAATTTAGTAAGTAATCATATTTATTGTCTATCAAATTTAGTAAGTAATCATATTTATTGTCTATCAAATTTAGTAAATAATCATGTTTATTGTCTATCAAATTTAGTAAGTAATCGTATTTATTATTTATCAAATTTAGTAAGTAATCATATTTATTATTTATCAAATTTTGTAAGTAATATTTATTATTTACAAAATTTAGTAAGTAATCATATTTATTATTTATCAAATTTAGTAAATATTTAGTATGTTTAAATCTGAATGTGAAATTGAAAATTAGGCAAAAAGTAGCTCAGAATGCGTGGATAATTTTTTTTTTTCGTGTTAAGATTACTGGATTATATAATTTAAAATAGAATTGCTATATATCAAGCTCTCTTTTTACTCGACTTTTCGTGCGAATTTTTTACGCGATTGTTTTTATGTTGCTTTTGGTAAACGTTTTTGTGATCTCTCGCGGATGAAAACGCGAGTCGTTGAGCAAAAGTGTTTCGAAAAAATACCGCGTAACAAACGCGCGAAAATAAACCGCATAAAAGTTAAGAAAGTTAGATGTATATATAAATTTATCAAACACGTAGTTGTTTACCTCTTTCATAATACATGTTCTAGTAGAATTATTTTAAATATATGAAACAATAGCCACTATTGGACTAGATAATTTTTAATTTTATATTTAATTGTTTATATTTCTAATATGTATAGTTCAGCATTAGCAGGTCCATTGCACTTCACCTTTCAATAATATCATTCTTGCATCTGATGTCATATTTTTTATCGATCACATGCATTTAAAATTAAAAGTGATGGTTAATTTTTAGTACTTCGTTAAGTTTAGCAGAAGTATTTAAGGTGTTTAAAGTAAATACTATCGGAAGGTTCAAAATGACGTTTCCATATTCGGAATACATTCTCTGTACGTCATAATGACGAGATTTAGAATACATGTCATTGTCTCGACCGGTGATTTGAAAGTATAAGGTCCCTTGTGTAGTTTTGCAACTTAGATATTAAATGTAATGTACTTTTACATGCAATAAAGCATCAAACGTTATAAATTACATAAGAATAATAAAATTAGTCTACTGCGCATGCTTCAATCAAAATTTCAAACCCTATAGGAAATTAAGATATTTTTATCCTTGATTTGAAAAAATAGGCGTTCATAAAAGCGAGCTTCGCTTCAAACGCATTTTATTTTGATTAAAAAAAAAAACATTTAACTATATAATGAAATTTTGCCACAAATTTGTTTCCATATCTCTCCTTGTTTCAAGCAAAATTTATTGAAATCTTACATTCTTAATTAGAAGAATTATATAAAATAAGATTTAATTTCATTAAATTGTTATTTGTAAATTTATATGTTATTTTTAAACATATACGATATGACAGATGGATATTTGTTGCTCAGGATTTGAAATTATTAAAATTGCATTAAAAATATATAGTTTCTGTCACTAGGTATAGAAATTAATTATAATACTCAAATATGAATTCAAAGTCCGTCCATAAATATATAAATATTCTGTGCAAATGTTAGAAGTTAATGTTATGTTTTCGTAACATCACATATTATAAAATTTTAAATGTTCGTTGAGAACTTGTTCAGAGCATTTAAAAAATTCTTTAGAATTTTTATTAAACATGAGAAATTTAGGATCATTCTAATGAGAAATTTATCACTAAAATTCATCAAGATGATCATGGAAAATTTAGGATCATTCTGATGAGAAATTTATCACGAAAATTCATCAAGACGATTATGAGAAATTTAGGATCATCCAATGCTAACAAATTTACCTATCTGAAATTATTCACTCTTGACTGAGTTTTGCAATAATCTTCTATCAAGCATATCATTAAAATTATAACGTATTCTTTCATATTCATAAAAAGCCTGTTCTTTATTTATTATTGAAACAGCACTCGGGAAAATTCTTTGGACTTTTGAAAGAAATATAATCCAGACAGATATTTAAGCTGAGATACTTGTTCCCGAAAAAGAATCGTGAAGCAATATTACGTACGAAGTATCTCCGAAAGAATTTTTTTACTGAGATAAGTTTATTTAAATAAATATATGTCTGAATTATATGCAGTATAGCCGTACAGTCCTATGTATTACCCTGCAGGATCAGAAGGACTGTTTTACACTCCTGAAAACTGAAAGTAATTGCGAACAGTACTTCATTAGCCTGAAATTATGATCCTTGGGATTTTAGATGTGAAGACTGTGTGGAACAATTCAGCCAATGGTAAATGAAGTGAATTTAAGAGGAAAAAGACATCCATATTCGAAATGCCTTATAGAAAGAGATTTAATTCAGAAGCCTATTTCCTGCAGAGTTTTTCTTTGGGATATTGAAAGTGGTGGCAAAGAAAGCTGCATGGCCTGAGATTCTGTGATATAATATCTAGTAATTACATTATTCTGCAAGTTATATCTAGTTATTGTATTGTGTTACTCTCATTTGTGATAATTCGAAGTACTGTGAGGCCGAGGTGTCTTCCATTGTGAAAAATCTTTCAAAAAACAGCAAGCAAGCGGGGATAACAATTCGCCTCGCTTTCAATCAAATGTCAAATCTTACAGATTTAGGTTTGTAATCGTATGAGTTTTTTTTTTTTTTTTTTTTTTTTTTTTTTTTTTTTATCTCTGCAGCATATTGTTTATACTGTTTGCGTTTTCGTATTGATCACTTTCTAATTTATTGAATGGAATCCTTTTGGGTGTGTGATTGTGCGTTCATTTGTACACAATCTCTTATCAAGACGGCTCAAAGAACCTGCACTAAAACAGAATTCAATTCTATTTTAGAGTTTCACATTATGTAAGTCTTTTATTGATAAGAATCAAGCATAGGTTATCCTTTATAGAGCTATAAATATACCACAGGAAAATATTTAAAGGTAAATGAGTTCTATAAGATAATTTTCTTTGAACTTAAGACGTAAATATAATTTGTCACTTGGTAAAATTTTGGCTTTAGCCTTCAAGAATTGTTTCACAGATCGTCCAGATTCATGGTATTTGCATATGATTATCCGACTGTTTCAGCTTGACGTTACTATACTTCATCTACCAGAAAAACGGTACACTGTTGATTTTTTTCCTTTTCATATGTTTAGAATGTTAAAGATATTACTTTTAACAAAATCACGCAAACATGGCCGCATTTTCAGTCCCATGTTACAGTGTACAATTCATGCTGTAAAGTTCTAAGATGAAATTCTAAGAGCCGATTTCTTTATTTTTTTCAATCAATGATAATATAGGTAATTTGTTTTTGTAGCGGGTTTGTTCAGAAATCTTGATAAAATTTTCAAGAATGGAATTAATTTTTTTAAATCCTGAACAGGATGGCTTAAACATAATTCTCATGTTTGAAGAACATGAAGTTTCTGTGTGAAGTCTCGAATAGAAGGAAGTTTTTGTAAGGATCCGGAATGATAATTATCCGTCTCTATTCTTTTCCCAAGTGATTTCTACAGTTTCTACAGTTATCAATTTACCGTTATATGGGAATCATTACAGTGTGTTCAAAACAGTTCATCGTTTAGAAGTACCTACATAGAAAGAAACACGGATAGCACGGATACTTGTGCATATGGTACAAAAGTATTTTACAAGGTCTTGCAGGAGGAAGATGATTTTTTAAATCATTTAGAATGCTGTCTGAATTATAGACCGTAATATTCAAATATGGAGTTCATTTTGAAGCTTTTCTGCAATTTGTCTTACAGGACTAAGTAGGATATTCTAAAACTACTATTTACAACATAAGTATTTTTCTATTTAATACTGATCGAAAACCAAATTCAGAGAAATAACTGATGGTATCATTTAAAAATACTTATACTCAAAATAACAATTTTCAGTCCTATAATTTATTAATTATTATTGTAAAACTCAAATCTCCCTATAATTCAATTTGTACATTCATAAATCTATTGCATTAAAAATTCAAAAGATAACTAAGGATGTATTTACATTTATTACAAGACGTAACTATTAATCACATAAAGTGATGTCTCAATAAATAGATATAAAATTTTGTATTTTGTATTTTTCAATCTAGAGGATTTTTATTGACGCCTAGAAGTTTATTTATAGCTTAAAATTGTAAATTACATTGGTCATATTTCGGCTTAAATGATCGTATTAAGAACTATATCTCAGCATAGTTTAAGCATTAATTCCTTTGCATTTAAATATATATCTAACCCTATTTCTGCATAGCTCTAACATTTCGACAGACGTCATTTCAAAAACGGTCCCAGCTCAATCCATTTACACGCACATAGCATTTAATGCCATTTTCACTTTACTCATCCCATGTTTCTGCAGTTTCTTTTTTAATTTTTATTTGTACGTATGGATTAGATATGATAAAAATGACAGGGCTTTTGGCTATTGCAAATACTACGAGTCAGTGTCTGAATATATTATTGGCTAAAATAATTCATATGGAAAACTAATCTTTAAATTATAAAAAGCGTTACAAATATTAAGAAATTTAGATTTATGATGAAACGTCCTTTGAAGTATGTATTTCAAGTATCTATCAAATTTTCATTATGTAATTAATGTAAATTTAAATGAAATTGCAATATTTTAGCTATTTCGATTATATTAAAATGGTTATATCTAGTTATTTAGGCTATACTATGCACAAATATTTAGAAATTCTATTGTGAAGTTCAATGTTTTAGATGTTTATATTATAAAAATGATATTAAGCATCTGTCCAATAGTGATAATTAAAAAAACATTAAGGCCGAATTGACGCGGAAGTTTTGTCTCTGAAGAAGCAGGTTAAAAGTTCTGTTTGCTAAGAGCTAAATTTTAAAATATTTTTTTGTATTTATTTAAGTAAAGATTTCGCTTATGCTTATTTAAGAGTGAAAATACAATCATTTGATAAAGTATTTGAACGGGGATGGCGAAATTACATTTCATTGATAATCATTCATTGTTTCATCTTTCTTACAAAAAATGTTCACATTACAGTAAAGTTGTAAAATCTTTTGACTGTTAGACCTACATTTGTTACACTCTTCATAGTTCTTGGTTATCAAAAT